TTATAGATTTGATAGATTTGGTTACAACTAATACAACATTACACACAGACCAGTTTAAGCAGTAATGTTTGATTTGGCAGGTACATGACATTGGGCATTTGGGAATCGGATAAAACATAACTGTAAACATAATAAAAAGTGGCCCATTTGAAAATTGAATTTTAGAGTGACATAAATAAACACAGCTGACCAAGTTTCTAACTATACTGACTATTGAAATTCATGAGTTGTACAGTACTAACTAAACGTACATTTTCTTTGTGTTCATAAATGTTCTTATCAATATGTTTATATTAATCATCCAATATCATCACAGCTAAAACATGTGTAGCCTGTATACCAGTCTGATCAGCTCCAGAGTTGCCAAAAAACTACAGTAGCATTCAGGCTACCAGGTTCTTTGTTATCATTCAAGCCATTTAACCAGTTCAAGTAAATGGTCTGTAGGCCAATCACTCGCAACAGGACTGTTCTTATAATATTTAAGTTGACTGACCGGATTCAGCTACTAATAGAAAAAACTGTCAGTATCAAGTCCGTATGATCAACTAAATGAAATACACACATTTATAAATACACAACAAATGTACCTATGTCCAGCACTCTTTTCCCTTGTAAAATGTAACTAGATATTGGTATATATATATCCTTTGAAAGTGACGCCTAATTTGCATATTTTTAATTTAAATGGAATAAACAGTAATATCATAATTAATAATGTTTTTTCCCCATTTAATTTGTGTAGAGTTAAGAGAAATGTTTTAATCTTAACCGATTTCAGTCCTTAGAAGGGTGGCAGCATAGAATGTATTAGAACAGCATAGAATGTATTGGAATACATACAACGATACACTATATAGCCAAAGGTATGTGGACACTGGACACCCCTTGAAAATTAGTGGATTCGGCTATTTCAGCAACACTCGTTGCTGACAGGTGTATAAAATCGAGCACACAGCTAAGCAATCTCCATAGACAAACATTGGCAGTAGAATGACCTTACTGAAGAGCTCAGTGACTTTCAACGTGGCACCGTCATAGGATGCCACCTTTCCAACAAGTCAGTTCGTAAAATGTTTGCCCTGCTATAGTTGCCCCAGTAAACTGTAAGTGCTGTTATTGTGAAGTGGAAACGTCTAGGAGCAACAACGGCTCAGACGCGAAGTGGTAGGCCACACAAGCTCACAGAATGGGACTGTCGAATGCTGAAGCGTGTAAAGATCGTCTGTCCTCGGTTGCAACACTTCCAAACTGCGTCTGGAAGCAACGTCAGCACAAGAACTGTTCGTCAGGAGCTTCATTAAATGGGTTTCCATAGCCGAGCAGCCGAGCAGCTGCACACAAGCCTAAGATCACCATACGCAATACCAAGCGTCAGCTGGAGTGGTGTAAAGTTCGCCGCCATTGGATTCTGGAGCAGTGGAAACTCGTTCTCTGGAGTGACCATCTGGCAGTCCGACGGACGAATCTGGGTTTGGCGGATGTCAGGAGAACGCTACCTGTCCCAATGCATAGTGCCAACTGTAAAGTTTGGTGGAGGAGGAATAACGGTCTGGGGCTGTTTTTCATGGTTCGGGATAGGCCTCTTAGTTCTAGTGAAGGGAAATCTTAACGCTACAGCGTACAATGACATTCAAGATGATTCTGTGCTTCCAACTTTGTGGCAATTGTTTGGGGAAGGCCCTTTCCTATTTCAGCATGATAATGCCCCCGTGCACAAAGCAAGGTCCATACAGAAATTGTTTGTCGATATCGGTGTGGAAGAACTTGACTGGCCTGCACAGAGCCCTGACCTCAATCCCATCAAACACATTTGGGATGAATTGGAACTCTGACTGCGAGCCAGGCCTAATCGCCCAACATCAGTGCCCGACCTCACAAATGCTCTTGTAGCTGAAAGGAAGCAAGTCCCTGCAGCAATGTTCCAACATCTAGTTAAAAGCTTTCTCAGAAGAGCGGAGGCTGTTATAGCAGCAAAGGGGGGACCAACTCCATATAAATGCTCATGATTTTGGAATGAGATGTTCGACGAGCAGTTGTCCACATAGTTTTGGCCATGTAGCATATATACAATTTTATGACTAGATAAATCCCCTCTGACTGACAATAATTTTATATTGGTTTCAACTCAGTGAAAGAAAACAGGGAGGGAGAAGTAGTTAATAATATATTCTGGGGTTCATCTAATATTGATGTTACTATTGTATTTTCACTAGTGAAACAATTACAATCCTTATCAAATATATTGCAGTAGTACAATAAAAACAGCAATGAGGTTATAATGCTTCCAGTCTCAGATCAAATAGCATTCGTAAGAAGCATGAAGGATGTCTGGCTTGGGCTTGTAATGTGGAGAACTTTCTCTGCTCTGTCATTAAAACATATCTTCCTATCACCATACTTCATGTGGGGATAGTTTAAGATCCGTGAAAAGAATCCTTTGAACTTTCCTCAGGATTCCAGAAGTATACCATGATGTTAGCGTTTTACACAGTACTTCCCTTCAGATGGAATTATTGCACAGCCAAATTCATTTCAGAACTGGTCAACTTCAAGACCATGAAGAACATTACTTTTCATTCAAGTAAAAGGTGCACTATACTATGTCATGCCATGGATGGTTAGATTTAATAAGTGACATGTAGACACAGGCCAGGCACTACAAGTGGGCTATGTTTGGCATTGCCTCCTCAAATAGACTCTTGGGGGTGATTGAGTTTTGCTCAAGTTGGCAACCCTAGTTCACCTTTACTCCTGGCATGCCATGGGCCTGTACACGATTAATCCAAAAGTTCAGAAGAGAAACACGTGTGTTGATCAATTCCATTATTAACACACATCGGTAATACCAGCATTCCATAATGGCAACATTACTCAGATATAGAGATGAGGTGGGTTTAAAATGTCAATATGCTGAGTATACACAGTTATGTTGAAAGTGTTTAAGGTGCTGCTGACCTGCTAGAAACAAGCTGATGATGAATGTGACCAATTATTGAATTAATAATAAGTAACTGTTTCTAGTCTCCTTTCCCTCTCTCTCAAAGAAAGAGAAGAAATAAAAAAGTATATTGCTTCAGAAAAAAAGATTTTTCAAACTATTGTGAGACATTTCACCACTGCTTGGGTTGTTCTAGAGCATTACATAGTCAGTCATAGGTATATTATATACATACTGAGAGATGCTGTGAATCCAAGAGATAAATGATCAATGAGGAGTGGGGCTCTGGCGATATTTGCATTTTTCAAACACTGAAACAGCCTTTTCCTGCAATCTAGAGCCATAATCATTATGCTTAATTCTATGTAGTTTTCTACATACACTATATATACAAAAGTATGTGGACACCCCTTCAAATTGGTGGATTCGGCTATTTCAGCCACACCCGTTGCTGACAGGTGTATAAAATCGAGTACACAGCAATGCAATCTCCATAGACAAATATTTGGCAGTAGAATGGCCTTACTGAAGAGCTCAATACCTTTCAACGTGGCACCGTCATAGGATGCCACCCTTCCAACAAGTCAGTTTGTTACATTTCTGCCCTGCTAGAGCTGCCACGGTCAACTGTAAGTGCTGTTATTGTGAAGTGGAAACAGAACAGAACGGGACCACCGAGTGCTGAAGCGTATACACCTCGTCTGTCCTCAGTTGCAACACTCACTACCGAGTTCCAAACTGCCTCTGGAAGCAACGTCAGCACATTAACTGTTCGTCGGGACCTTCATGAAATGGGTTTCCATGGCCGAGCAGCCGCACACAAGCCTAAGATCACCACGCACAATGCCAAGCGTCGGCTGGAGTGGTGTAAAGCTCGCTGCCATTGAACTCTAGAGCTGTGGAAACGTGTTCTCTGGAGTGATGAATCACACTTCACCATCTGGCAGTCCGACGGACTAATCTGGGTTTGGCGGATGCCATGAGAAGGCTTCCTGCCCCAATGCATAGTGCCAATTGTAAAGTTTGGTGGAGGAGGAATAACGGTCTGGGGCTGTTTTTCATGGTTTGGGCTTGGCCCCTTAGTTCCAGTGAGGGGGAATCTTAACGGAGCAGTATATGATGACATTCTAGACGATTCTGTGCTTCCAACTTTGTGGAAACAGTGTGGGGAAGGCCCTTTCCTGTTTCAGCATGACAATTCCCCGTCCACAAAGCGAGGTCCATATAGAAATGGTTTGTCGAGACCTGTGTGGAAGAACTTGACTGGCTTGCACAGAGCCCTGACCTCAACCCCATCGAACACCTTTAGGATGAATTGGAACTCTGACTGTGAGCCAGGCCTAATCGCCCAACATCAGTGCCCAACCTCACTAATGCTCTTGTGGATGAATGGAAGCAAGTCTCCGCAGCAATGTTCCAACATCTAGTGGAAAGCCTTCCCAGAAGAGTGGAGGCTGTTATAGCAGCAAACGGGGGACCAACTGCATAATAATGCTCATGATAGGATATGCTGGGATAGGATAAAGTAATCATTCTACCCCCCCTTACCCCACCCCCCCAAAAAAATAAAAAATAAATAACATATTGTAAAGTGGTTATCCCACTGGCTATAAGGTGAATGCACCAATTTGTAAGTTGCTCTGGATAAGAGCGTCTGCTAAATGACGTAAACGTAAATGTAATGATTTTGGAATGAGATGTTAGACAAGCAGTTGTCCATATATTTTTGGTCATGTAGTGTATTTGAAATATAGTTAGAGCAATTACACTAATTACATGCTTGTAACTCTTTCGCACTGAAGGACAGTTAGTGCCGTGTGAACATGCAGTGTTAATATTTTCCATGAATCAAAGCTTCTTTCTGCCAACTCAACCAGCTTCTCTCCTCTTACAGCCAACTCTGCATAGATACTGGTTAGAGAACCAGTTACAACAATCTAACTTCAGAGGCTGACCAGCTACAGACCATTTTCAATGTCATTGCTAAAGAGAGACCAGCTACAGATCAGTTTCAATGTTGTGACTAACGGTAGACCACCTACAGAGCAGTTTCAGTGACATGACTAAAGAGAGAGACCAGTTAACTAACAAGAGCGACCAGTTGAAGACCAGTTTCAATGCCATGACTAAAGAGAGAGACCAGTTTCAGGGTTATCTCTGTGTGCTACGTGAGTTGTACTGTACTTGAGAAATGAGACGGCGAAAAAGTAAACAGTCATTTTGAAATACCATCTTGTAATCCTTAAAAAACATAATTGTTCATTTAGATATGACTGGATAATTCACTAACAGGTTTGTGTCACTAGCCTCATTTATACCTGGTTCTACTTTTATTAAACTAGAGACTACCATTCTCTTTATATTACATATCACCATGTTTTATTATTTGATATCATGCCTATTTATGAATGCCTTTTAATCACGTGTGCGGTTTACAACGATTGCCTTTCACTACATCCTTACATTCCCACGTGTGAAATCGAATTGAATTGCATGGACTATTTTGCTTGCTTGCATGGTATGCTGTGATTCCACAGATTGACATGGACTTAAGTGACATTGAGACAGCTGTTGCCAAATCCCTAGCACCTTCTCCCGCCCCAGAACTCGAGTTAAAAGGTTAAAAGGAACTTACCTTCAGGGCACCATTTGGACCGGGGACTTCTCGACTGACGGACGTCCACCTCATTGCTGCTGCTTCTCGCCGCTGTTCACCTGCTGTGGGAAAAAGACAAATCACAACACTCTCTATAGCACTACTAAAAGAAAGTGCTTGTTTCGAATGTGTGAGTGTGACTCCAACTGTTCGCCAATACATGCTCTAATTGTATGTTGTGTCCCCCGCGACTACAGAAACTGGGGACACGTCTGACGCAGCTGCGAGAGACTACACCCAACGCTACCACATAGCCGGGCCTGTGCGGAGTTAGGGACAGCCGGCGACCTGCCATTGACAACCGAACCAGCCATCGACTAACGACCCCTGTTCGGAGGAAGAGCCGAACCCTCCTCAGGTTGAGCCGAATGAACGAACCCTGCTCGGGTAGAGCCGAACGAAGAAACCCTGCTCGGGTAGAGCTGAACGAACTAAGAAACCCTGCTTGGGTAGAGCCGAACGAAGAAACCCTGCTCGGGAAGAGCTAAACGAACGAAGAAACCCTACTCGGGTAGAACTAAACGAACTAAGAAACCCTGCTTGGGTAGAACTAAACGAACTAAGAAACCCTGCTTGGGTAGAGCCGAACGAACATTGGCCACCGCTACGTGAGTGAATGAACTGCTGTGTTAGTTTGCTCCGGAGCTCATAGTTGGCCTATATCCCTAAATCCTAGCCCTTTTATGTTTCTGATCGGGCCGTGGTGATACTGTGTTGTCATTATGGTAAAAGCTCAATTTATAATAAAGAACCTTTACTCTGGCCTGCCTCTGATTGTGTTTGCTGTGGGATCTTAGAACTCTGCTCGACACTAACATGTGTCCTTTGTCCTGATCTTATCCACATCCTGATTGTGCCCACATTGTTGCCGTTGCATCTACACGTGGTAGTAAAATATGTCTGCACTGTGACCAGATATCCTGGTCCCTCCCTGTATGAATATTATTTGACAGCTATTCTTTCAAAATGTATATTTATTTTAAGACTATTGATACCATAAGTCAATGGCATCATCTGTCAATTAATGATTTAAATGGTTTCACTGTAGATCCGTCTACACTATCCAGACACAATGCGTGTCGGACTACCTCCGGAGGTGGTCAGAAAGATCGGATCACAATGAGTCTTTTAATTGTCTACACCTGTCTAAAAATATGGGCACAATCAGAATGTGGACAAGATCAGGACAAAGAATGTATGTTGGAACCAGGTATAAACGGGGCTACTGTGGACGTGAGTGCTACGTTTCCAGTGTTCTGCTGTGCTCTTCAACAGGGAATGAGCATTCAACAGGGTCAACACATGGAGGTTTTTCAGCTCCAGTTGGTATTACATCTCTACTGAGACTGCAAGGGAAGAGAAGCAGACCTAGTGATCATAAACTGCAAAGAGGAGCAGGAGAGTGAAAGAAAATAAACGAAGGGGGGAGATGGGATCTGGAACTAGTGTGTTACTGTTGATGGGCCCTATTTTCTTGCCAGTATATTTTTCTGCCAATATGCTGAGAATTTATCCATGGAATTGAAAATAAGAGATACTGGATTGGTCTGTCTGACCATGATAAGAAAATGACCATGAAATGGGTGGACGGCAAACCACTGACCATGTGGTAAGGAAATGATTATAGAGTACATTCGGAAAGTATTCAGACCCCTTCACTTTTTCCACATTTTGTTACGTTATAGCCTTATTCTAAGATGGATTACATTTTTCCCCTCATCAATCTATACACAATACCCCATAATGACAAAAAAACAGGTTTTTAGAAATGTTTGCAAATATATATTTATATAAAAAAAGGGATAACATTTACATAAGTATTCAGACACTTTACTTACTACTTTGCTGAAGCACATTTGGCAGCGAATACAGCCTCGGGTCTTCTTGGGTATGTCGCTACAAGCTTGACACACCTTTATTTGGGGAGTTTCTCCCATTCTTCTCTGCAGATCCTCTCAAGCTCTGTCAGGTTGGATGGGGAGCGTCGCTGTACAGCTATTTTAAGTTCTCTCCAGAGATGTTCGATCATGTTCAAGTCCGGGCTCTGGCTGGGCCACTCAAGGACATTCAGAGACTTGTCCCGAAGGCACTCCTGCGTTGTCTTGGCTGTGTGCTTAGGGTCGTTGTCCTGTTGGAAGGTAAACCTTTACCCCAGTCTGAGGTCCTGAGCTCTCTGGAGCAGGTTTTCATCAAGGATCTCTGTACTTTGCTCCGTTCATCTTTCCCTCGATCCTGACTAGTCTCCCAGTCCCTGCCGCTGAAAAACATCCCCACAGCATGATGCTGCCACCACCATGCTTCACCGTAGGGATGGTGCCAGGTTTCCTCCAGACGTGACGCTTGGCATTCAGGCCAAAGAGTTCAATCTTGGTTTCATCAGACCAGAGAATCTTGTTTCTCATGGTCTGAGAGTCCTTTAGGTGCCTTTTGGCAAACTCCAAGCGGGCTGTCATGTGCCTTTTACTGAGGAGTAGCTTTCGTCTGGCCACTCTACCATAAAGGCCTGATTGGTGGAGTGCTGCAGAGATTGTTGTCCTTCTGGAAGGTTCTCCCATCTCCACAGAGGAACTCTGGAGCTCTGAGTGACCATCGGGTTCTTGGTCACCTTCCTGACCAAGGCCCTTCTCCCCTGATTGCTCAGTTTGGGCGGACGGCCAGCTCTAGGAAGAGTCTTGGTGGTTCCAAACTTCTTCCATTTAAGAATGATGGAGGCCACTGTGTTCTTGGGGACCTTCAATGCTGCAGAAATGTTTTGGTGCCCTTCCTCAGATCTGTGCCTCGACACAATCCTGTCTCGGAGCTCTACGGACAATTCCTTCGACCTCATGGCTTGGTTTTTGCTCTGACATGCACTGTCAACTGTGGGACCTTATATAGACAGGTCTGTGCCTTTCCAAATAATGTCAAATCAGCCTGTGGTTATGTCTAATATGGCATCCTTTACAGAGATACAGTGATAACATAGAGAAAGAAATCTGGAGGTTGGTGCAGCACAAAGATCAACATAGACCTACAGTATTATAGCAGAGAATACCTCTCAGTAAAGTATGACATCAATGGAGAATCAACCACTTTTCCAGGATATGAATGAATAACAATAAGTCTGTCTATATTTTCCTCTGAAAACGAAGGTTCTGGGAGATTGGTGAGCCAAATGACATTCATGGATATGAGGACATTACTGAGATGATGCACCCTGATTTTGATGATGATCCATTACAGATCTGGAATGATGGAACATGTGACTTCTGGATCTGTGAGAAAGTAGCCTGCCCCTAGGCCTAACTCAAACAACAAACCCACACAAAGTTAAATGCATGTAAATTACTAATCTGAGACTACTAATCTGTGAACTCAAATAGAAAGGAATCTTCTGAAACTGGCACAGCATGAAACATAGACCTACAGTATAGAAGAGAACACCGCTCAGTAAATAATGATACAGTATCATATCATATAGAAGCTATATAGAATTGGTCTGCTCATATTATTGCAAATGGACAAATGATCAAAGTCAATAATTAGATTTGAGGTTAAAACAACACAATACAGATGAAGTTATTGTGCATTGTATAATAAATAATGTGATTTTCATGTAAATGGGGGCCAGTCAAACAATATAGAGTAATAAAAGTGACAGTGCCAAGATTAAGGGATGAACAGAGTTTGAGATTACATATTTCATATTTCAACAGACAGATATTGGCAAATGTTACTCCAGTCTATTTAATAAACAAATCAGAATTAAAATGTACATTCTTAAAAGACAGCTACATTGAGTTGTGCACACTTTGTGCAATACTGTATACATGTAGGCTATATTTCTTATAGACCATAAGTCATCACTAGTGTTTTAGATCAGGATTCAATCAAATTGGTGGTAACAACGGTAACAAACGCATACTTATCATTGCTTTTGTTTAGGCGGTGTCAGAGATGTAACTTCATTGGAGCTGTCAAATCCACAAGCTCCTCCCAGCGTTATACCTATCGCAGACATTGGATGCACCAAGTTGCATTAGTAGAAATCCAATGCAGCCGCATTACAAGTTTGAACACTGGAATGTGTGATGTAATCTACAACTTGATTAGTGGCTCGATTCAATCCGTAGCGTTGAAGAACTGCTCTTTAGCATTATTTAATTTGAAAGGTAAATTCGGATTGAGCCAACATATGCAGTGTTTAGCCTACTGTAAATGCAGTCTCTACCAGCGGGAACATTGACTTTAAATTTAAATCGCGTTATAGTGTGGATCTTCAGTGTTTAGCCTAATTATTTTCAATTTGAGTATCATTATTTCTATACTGAACAAAAATAAACACATAAAATATTTTCCTGAGTTACAGTTCATATAAGGAAATCAGTCATTTGAAATAAATTAATTAGGCCCTAATCTATGGATTTCACATGACTGGGCAGGGGCGCAGCCATGGGTGGACATAGGTCCATTCACTTGGGAGCCAGGCCCACCCACTGGGGAGCCAGGCCCAGCCAATCAAAATGAGTTTTTCCCCACAAAAGGGCTTAATTACAGACAGAAATACTCCTCAGCACCACATCATCAATTATTCATGTTTCCACTTGCGCCATGGGATTGTGGGAGGTGGAATGTGGTGTGGAATGGCTAAAAGTTGTGTCCGCTGAAGTTAAACTTCGTCAGAGTGACTTCACTTCACTTCCACTATTCATGCGAAATAAAGACGATAATCAAAAACATTAAGAACACCTTCCTAATATTGAGTTGCCCTCAGAACAGCCTCAATTCGTCTGGACATGGACTCTACAAGGTTTCGAAAGCGTTTCATAGGGATGTTGGCCCATGTTGACCAATGCTTCCCACTGTCGGCAGGATGTGCTTTGAGTGGTGGCCCATTCTTCATACACACGTGAAACTGTTGAGCGTGAAAAACCCAGCATCGTTGTAGTTCTTGACACAAACCGATGCGCCTGGCACCTACTAACATACCCCGTTCAAAGGCACTTAAATATTTTGTCTTGCCAATGGCATACATACACAATCCATATCTCAATTATCTCAAGGCTTAAAAATCCTTCTTTAACCTGTCTCCTCCCTTTCATATACACCAGTTTGAAGTGGATTTAACAAGCAACGTCAATAAGGGATCATAGCTTTCACCTGGATTCACCTGATAAGTCTGTGTCATGGAAAGAGCAGGTGTCCTTAATGTTTTGTACACTCATTCGCAAAGTATTCAGACCCCTTGACTTTTTCCACATTCTGTTACGTTACAGCCTTATTCTAAAATGGATTAAGTTGTTTTAAGAATTATGGCCACTGTGTTCTTGGGGACCTTCAATGCTGTAGAAATGTTTTGGTACCCTTCCCCAGATCTATGCCTCGACACAATCCTGTCTCGGAGCTCTACGGACAACTCCTTCGACCTCATGGCTTGGTTTTTGCTCTGACATGCACTGTCAACTGTGGGACCTTATATAGATAGGTGTGTGCCTTTCCAAATCATGTCCAATCAATTGAATCTACCACAGGTGGACTCCAATCAAGTTGTAGAAACAGCTCAAGGATGATCAATGGAAGCAAGATGCACCAGAGCTCAATTTCGAGTCTAATAGCAAAGGGTCTGAATAATTATGTAAATAAGGTATTTCTGTTTTTAATTTTTTATTAACTTACCAAAGATTCTAAAAACCTGTTTTCATCACTTGTGACAACTATTGGTGTAAATGGATTAGTTTTGTAAATACCATCTTCCAATGAATCACCACTCATGGATTTAAAACAATTTAACACTGTAGTAGGCCAACATAATTTCCCCATTCCTATCTACCACTACTTTGAATGACGGGTTTATTGACACTTTTATAATTATCATGCTGGGAAGCAATGGTACCAATAAAGTATAACATCAATAGAGAGTCCACCACTTTTCCAGGATATGAATGAAGAAAATTTGAACAAAGTCACTGTCTATCTTTTCCTCTGTGCCAAAACCACATGAAAACTTTGACAGAAGTTGAGACCTGAAAGCTAGGGCAATATATAGAAGGAGGAAGAAGCTGAATAATGATAAGAAAAAAGATACAATTTAAATGTTGTCCCTGATATACCAGCTTCCCATCTTCAAGTGGATTAAAAAGGTTCCTCTGTCACAGAGCTTGTCCATTGTGGAGAACCACACTGTCACCACGCATACTTCATCACAAGAGATGGCAGACATTGTCACTGAAATCAATGTGAATCATGGAAACCTTTCTGAGGATACAACAAAGGATATACACATGAATAATATCACTGCAGCAAATTATTCAGAGGAGGCAGCAAAAACGGGTAAGCTTATCCAAATTACATTGTATTCTGTTAAATGCAGAGGATGCAATTGGATTCAAACCAACATCCTAACATCCTGTAAGGATAAATTCCTCTTCCACCTGTTGGACAAATGGATGTTATAACCTGTTATAATGTGTCATCATGAGGATGCGTTGTATTTTTAGGGACCACACAAATATCAATTAGGTTACTTCCTTGCTAGTTGTGCAGTCAATGTCATTGTCAAGAAATAGACAGGCGTTATTCAGTGCCTTCCTCTGCTGTTTCCTGACCTTCTCAGGAGCTGAGAATACCGGGCCAGGGAGAAGAGTCTACAGACTGGTCGCTGTGAGCTTTGGTCTGCTGTGCATTGTACAAGTAACACTCAATGTCTCCCTACGCCTCTTTTTCTGTGAGTGAAATTATTTCTGACAAAATCTTTGAAATCTAGTTAGAGAGCAAAATCTGGAAAATTATACAAACTACAGTAATGGCATGCTTGTAACTGTGAAAAACATGCAGTTTAAGATTCTCCAAAGATAAAGGAGTACATATAATGCTGAGAATAACAAACAGCTCATGAATCATAGCCTCTTTCTGCAATCTAAACCATAGCTTATCTCTTCTTACAGCCAACTCTGCACAGATGCACTGGTTACAGATCAGTTACAATAACCTAACTGAAGAGGCTGAACATCTACGGACCCTTTTCAATGTCACTTTAAAAGAGAGAAACCAACTACAGACCAGTTTCACTGCCGTGACTAACGAGAGAGACCAGGCACAGACCAGTTTCATTGTTGTGACTAAAGAGAGAGTCCAGCTACAGACCCGTTTCAATGTTGTGACTAAAGAGAGTGTCACGATCGTTGGAGGAAGTGGACCAATGCGCAGCGTGATGAGTGAACATACTTTTAATTTGATTCACCACACGAAACAAAACAACAAAACGATACGTGAAGTCCTAGGTAACAGACACAAACCATACACGGAACAAGATCCCACAAAACACTGTGGAAAACAGGCTGCCTAAGTATGGTTCCCAATCAGAGACAACAAGCAACAGCTGACACTCGTTGCCTCTGATTGAGAACCACCCCGGCCAAAACAGAAACACATGAGCTAGATAAAGAACCTAGAACACAAATACATAGAAACTACACACCCTGGCTCAACATAACAGAGTCCCAGAGCCAGGGCGTGACAGTACCCCCCCCCCCCCCCCCCCCAAAAGGCGCGGACTGCGACCGAACATAAACCGAACAGGGGAGGGCCGGGTGGGCATTCCTCCTCGGAGGCGGTTCCGGCTCCGGGCTTGACCACCACCCTCCAACAATCCCCCCGTAGCGCCCCTGGTCCGGTCTGGCCCCGCTGGCTGGAGCTGGACTGGACATCGGTGGAGCGGATTGCTTAGGCTCCGATGTGGAGCAGCTGACCGGTACCTGACCAGGCACCGGTGACCCAGGCACGGGCTGTGCCGGACTGACGACGCGCACCACAGGCTTGGTGCGGGGAGTAGGAACGAGCCGGACCGGGCTGACGACGCGCACCACAGGCTTGGTGCGGGGAGCAGGGACGGGCCGAACCGGGCTGACGAAGCGCACCACAGGCTTGGTGCGGGGAGCAGGAACGGGCCGGACCAGGCTGACGACGCGCACCCTTGGCTTGGTGCGGGGAGCAGGAACGAGCCGGACCGGGCTGATGATGCGCACCACAGGCTTGGTGCGGGGAGCAGGAACAGGCCGGGCCGGGCTGGCGACGTGCACCACTGGCTTGGTGCGGGGAGCAGGAACAGGCCGGGCCGGGCTGGCGACGCGCACCATTGGCTTGGTGCGGGGAGCAGGAACAGGCCGGGCCGGGCTGGCGACGCGCACCATTGGCTTGGTGCGGGGAGCAGGAACAGGCCGGGCTGGGCTGGCGACGCGCACCATTGGCTTGGTGCGGGAAGCAGGAACAGGCCGGACCGGGCTGGCGACGCGCATCACAGGCTTGGTGCGAGGGACAGGAACAGGCCAGACTGCACTGGGAACACACACCACTGGCCTTACCCGGGGATCAGGAACGGGCCGGACCGGACTGGCAACACACCTCAGTACCTCTCGCCGTGCCTCTACATTTTCCTTCCCTCTACTCGCCAATGGCTCCCGTAACCCGGTGGCCTTCTCTCCTCGTCCACTAACTCGCCCCTTATCTGCCTCCAGCAGCCCCGTCGTCCACGGTGTGAGCCCCCCCCTAAAAATTTATTGGGCTTGTCTCTCCCCCGTGGATATGGCCTCCATGGCTCTCGCCAGACTCTCCATCCTCTGCTCCCAAATCCAACCTATCTCCTCCTCACGCTGCTTGACCCAGTCGAGGTGTACATCCGCTAAAGTTACCTCCGGCGTGTACTCCTGGACACGCTGCTTGGTCCAGTATTGGTGGGATCTTCTGTCACGATCGTTGGAGGAAGTGGACCAATGCGCAGCGTGATGAGTGAACATACTTTTAATTTGATTCACCACACGAAACAAAACAACAAAACGATACGTGAAGTCCTAGGTAACAGACACAAACCATACACGGAACAAGATCCCACAAAACACTGTGGAAAACAGGCTGCCTAAGTATGGTTCCCAATCAGAGACAACAAGCAACAGCTGACACTCGTTGCCTCTGATTGAGAACCACCCCGGCCAACACAGAAACACATGAGCTAGATAAAGAACCTAGAACACAAATACATAGAAACTACACACCCTGGCTCAACATAACAGAGTCCCAGAGCCAGGGCGTGACAGAGAGAGACCAGCTACAGACCAGTTTCAATGCCATGACTAAAGAGAGAGACCAGTTAACTAATGAGAGAGACCAGTTAATTAAAGCTATAGACCAGTTGAAGACAAATAATGATGCCATGATTAAAGAGAGACCAGGTTTAACTCTGTGCTCTAGTTGAGTTGTACTGTATCTGAAAAATGAGAGCGAGAGAGTAAACAGTCATGGATTCACCATCTTGGAATCCTTAAAAAACTACCATTATGTTCTTTTTGATATATAAATGGATAATTCACTAAGAGATTATTGTGTCAATATGGACATGAGTGCTACTTTTCCAATGGTCTGTTATGCTGCTCTTCAACAGAGATGTCAAGACAGGGATGGATGTATTTCAGCTTCAGATGGTATTACATCTCAACTGAGACTAAATCCTGGGAGGAGAGTAGAAAGGACTGCAAGGGGAGAGGAGTAGACCTAGTGATCATAAACAGCAAAGAGGAACAGGTGAGAGTGAAAGAAGAGAAAGAAAAGGGGGAAACTAGTGTGGTACTGTTGATGCCAGTATGCCAATATATTTTTCTGCTAATATGCTAGGAATATATCCATGGATTCAAAAAGATGAGGTACTGGATTGGTCTGGCTGACATAGAAATTGAATCGACCGTGACATGGGTGGACGGCACACCACTGACCATAACGTAAGAAAATTATTTTAGTGTCACATTTGCCTATTACAGAACTGGTGCAACATTGACAATCTGATTGTATTGTGTGTTTTTAGGTTCTGGATAGCATAGTAACATGCATGGAACTAAGGATTATATTGCACCCTGCTACCTTCAATGATCCCTTACAGAGCTGGAATTATGAAACATGTAGCAATTTGTTCTTCTGGATCTGTGAGAAAGTAGCCTCCCTGTAGGCCTAACTCAAACACCAGACCCACACAAAGTTAAATGTATTTCAATTGCTTCGCCATAGATAAGAACTTACTTTAGAATGATTTGCTAGTTAATTGGAAATTAATGGTATGCCCTCACAACGTTAAATGCATGTCATTTACACCCCCTCCCCTCCCCCAATTGCTGAGAACTTAATTGCTTACTTACACGCTATGGCGTGACACATTTATTAACAGTACAACATGCTAATCATATTTCCCCCTCTAACTATCATGTAGACATTTCTTTAAAATGCCATTTCATGTTGTTGAATGAGCCATTATTACTTCATTTTATCTCTTACAGATTTTAACAAACCTTTCTGTAGTGCTCTCATCATGAACCATATTTACAGTATACACTACCAGTCAAAAGTTTGGACACACCTACTCATTCAAGGGTTTTTCTTTACTTGTGCTATTTTTTACATTGTAGAAGACATCAAAACTATGAAATAACACATATGGAATCATGTAGTAAACAAAAAAGTGTTAAACAAATAAAGGTATATTTTATATTTGAGAATCTTCAAATAGCCACCATTTGCCTTGATGACAGATTTGCACACATGCAGGGGCAGTGATTCAGATGAAAAAATAATTGATACAATGGAGTTAAACACAGTGACTTCTCCCAGCAGTAGCATAATATGGGTGACACCAGAAATCGACAGCAAACCCCTCAAAATGGAGCTGGACATAGGATCTGCAGTGTCTATAATTTCCACGACTTTCTACAATAAGCACTACAAGGCTATCAAGCTGAAGAAAACAAATGTGTTGCTGAAGACATACTCAGGAGAAAGATTGAGCCCAATGGGGGTGTTGCAGGTCAGAGTGAGTTATGTGGAGCAAACACAGCCGTTACAGCTGTATGTGGTGCCGGGAACTGCCCCTCCCCCCCGTCCAAAATAAAGCTGAACTGGTGTGACTTGAAAATGCTCCACACGTCCCAGCCTAAAGAGAAAGGCACAGACCAAACATTGGAACACTTGCTGAAGAAATACGACACCGTTTTCAATGATAATAATAATAATAATAATCAGATGGCAACCCCAAATTTCTGCAAAAGCAGATCTGTTCCATGCTCCCTGAGACCAAAGGTGGAAGCGGAAATCGATCGCTTGCAGGATACAGGGATCCTGACGAAAGTGGACAGAAGGGAATGGGCCACACCCATTGTTCCTATTGTAAAGAAAGACGGGTCTGTTCGAATGTGTGGGGACTTCAAGGTAACTGTGAATTCAATGTTGCAAGTGGCCCTGCCACGTCTGGATGACATCTTTGCTGCACTAGCTGGTGGTGAACACTTCAGTAAAATCGACCTGAAACAGGCTTACCTGCAGCTACCGGTTGAAGAGAGCTCCAAACAGTACCTGACAATAAACACACACAAAGGTCTATACAGGTATAACCGCCTGGTTTTTGTCATTGCATCTGCCCCAGCCATTTGGCAATGAACTATTGACCATATTTTGCAAGGAATCCCAGGAACCCAGTGTATCCTGGATGACATGATCATAACAGGACGCACAGACAAAGAGCACCTGGCTAACCTGGAAGAGGTCCTGAGAAGACTGAAAGAGTATGGACTACAGGCAAACTTAAGGAAGTGTGAGTTCTTCAAAGACAAGATTGTCTTCTGTGGACATGAAATCGACCGCAATGGATTGCACAAAACTCAGGACAAAATCGATGCAGTGGTACAGGCACCACGACTGCAAAATGTGACAGAAGTGAGATCTTTCACGGGACTGATCAATTACTACAGAAGATTCCTCCCAAACCTTTCAGCAGTACTCCAGCCTCTCAATCAGCTCCTGGAAAATAATAGGACATGGCAGTGGACATTACAGTGTGAAAATGCATTTCTTGAGGCAAAATGGCTCATCACATCTGAACAGGTCCTGATGCATTACAACCCCAAACTGCCAGTGAAGTTTGCTTGTGATGCGTCCCCTTATGGCTTGTGATGTGTCCCTTCACACACACTGAAAGATGGGTCAGAGAGGCCAGAGGCCTTTGTGTCACGAACTTGAATGATGCAGAGAAGAACTACTTACAAATCGACAAAGAAGCACTGGCGCTAGTGTTGGGCATCAAGACATTCCACGCATACCTATATGGAAAGCGTTTCACACTGGTTACGGATCATCAGCCATTGCTTTCCATTTTCAGTCCAAAGAAAGGCATTCTGGCAATGACAGCGGCCAGGTTACAGCGATATGCCTTATTCCTTGCCGGTCATATGTATGACATTGAGTTTAAGCCGTCGTCCCTCCACACAAATGCAGAAGGATTATCCAGACTGCCCTGTACAAGAGAAAGACAAAGGAGTGTGGATGCAGTGGACATTTTCCATACCTCTCAGATCGAGGCATTACCTGTCACATGCACAGTTATCAAAAGGGAGACAAGGAAAGATGTGACATTGTCAAAAGTATACACCTACACCATGTCAGCATGGCCAGCTACAGGCAGAAAGGAGCTGACACCGTATTTCCAGCAGAGAAACTAAATTACAATGTACCAAGGATGTTTGATGTGGGAAATTAGAGTCACGATACCCCAGAAATGCCAACATCAGGTTTTGGAGCAACTACATGAAGGGCATGTTGGAATTGTCAACATGGATGATGGCGCCGGAGAAGATGGCTGCCGTTTACAGCCCTCTAACCAATTGTAATATTATGTGTGTTTTTTCGTGTTATTTGTAATTTATTCTGAACATAATATTTCTGCCATCGTCAGGACAGCGATTACTCACCTCGTACTGGACAAAGATTTTTTCTTCAATGAGGCGGCCGCGAAGGATATCCTACAGACACACGACAAGGCCCAAATCCCCGTCATTCGCAGGAGAAAGAGACAGAGATATCGTGGACGTAGGTCGGGGTGCCTCGTAAGGATCCGACGGTGATCTCTTCCATCAATCCTATTAGCCAATCTTCAATCATTGGAAAATACATTAGATTACCTACGATTACGCTTATCCTACCAACGGCACATTAAAAACTGTAATATCTTTTGTTTCACCGAGTCATGGCTGAACGACGACATGGACAACATACAGCTAGCGGGCTACACGCTACCTCGGCAGGATAGAACGGCTGACTCCGGTAAGACAAGGGGTGGCGGTCTGTGTATATTTGTAAACAACAGCTGGTGCACAAAATCAAATACTAAGGAAGTCTCGAGGTTCTGCTCACCTGAGGTAGAGTACCTTATGATAAGCTGTAGACCACACTATTTACCAAGAGAGTTTTCATCTATATTTTTCATAGCTGTCTATTTACCACCCCAAACCAATGCTGGCATTAAGATTGCACAATCAGCTGTATAAGGCCATAACTAAACAGTGCTCCTAGTGGCCGGGGACTTTAATGCAGGGAAACTTAAATACCTCATTTCTACCAGCATGTAAAATGTGCAACCAGAGGAAAAAAAACTCTAGATCAACTTTACTCCACACACAGAGACGCATACAAAGCTCTCCCTCGCCCTCCATTTGACAAATCTGACCATAACTCTATCCTCCTGACTCCTGCTTATAAGCAAAAACTAAAGCAGGAAGCACCAGTGACTCGGTTAATAAAAAAGTGGTCAGATGACGCAGATGCTAAGCTACAGGACTGTTTTGCTAGCACAGACTGGAACATTTTCCGGGATTCTTCAGATAGCATTGAGGAGTACACCACATCAGTCACTGGCTCTATCAATAATTGCATCGATGACGTCGTCCCCACAGTGACTGTACGTACATACCCCAACCAGAAGCCATGGATTACAGGCAACATCCACACTGAGCTAAAGGGTAGAGCTGCCGCTTTCAAGGAGCGGGACTCTAACCCAGATGCTTATAAGAAATCCCGCTATGCCCTCCGACGAACCATCAAACAGGCAAAGATTGAATCGTACTACACCGGCTCTGACGCTCGTCGGATGTGGCAGGGCTTGAAAACTATTACAGACTACAAAGGGAAGCACAGCCGCGAGCTGCCCAGTGACACAAGCCTACCAGACAAGCTAAACCACTTCTATGCTCGCTTCGAGGCAAGCAACACTGAAGCATGCATGAGAGCACCAGCTGTTTCGGATGACTATGTGATCACGCTCTCCGTAGCCGATGTGAGTAAGACTTTTAAGCAGGTCAACATTCACAAAGCCGCAGGGCCAGACGGATTACCAGGACGTGTACTCCGAGCATGTGCTGACCAACTGGCAAGTGTCTTCACCGACATTTTCAATATGTCCCTGACTGAGTCTGTAATACAAACATGTTTCAAGCAGACCACCATAGTCCCTGTGCCCAAGGACACTAAGATAACCTGCCTAAATGACTACCGACCCGTAGCACTGATGTCTGTAGCCATGAAGTGCTTTGAAAGGCTGGTGGTGGCTCAAATCAACACCATTATCCCAGAAACCCTAGACCCACTCCAATTTGCATACCGCCCCAACAGATCCACAGATGATGCAATCTCTATTGCACTCCACACTGCCCTTTCCCACCTGGACAAGAGGAACACCTACGTGAGAATGCTATTCATTGACTACAGCTCAGCGTCATAGTGCCCTCAAAGCTCATCACTAAGCTAAGGATCCTGGGACTAAACACCTCCCTCTGCAACTGGATCCTGGACTTCCTGACGGGCCGCCCCCAGGTGGTAAGGGTAGGTAACAACACATCTGCCACGCTAATCCTCAACACGGGGGCCCCTCAGGGGTGCGTGCTCAGTCCCCTCCTGTACTCCCT